GCATGAGCTGATGGTGGTAATTCAACAAGGTAACTCTTGATTGGATGAGAAGCTAAATAAGTGTGTGGGGACTAGTGTGAATACTCTGTTTTGGTGGTATAAGTGGGTTGGTGGCTTTGTGTGAGATGTTTCTATGTTTATTTGTGGTAGTAAGGAATGTGAATTCCAATATTCTGGAAAATAGTTTCCATAATGGAACTAGGTAGGTATGGGAAGTGAGTTGGAGGAGGAATTTGTTTCAACATGAGCACCTTACTAATAACCTCATGTTAAAGCTTGTGGACGATGTTTATGTAAGTGGGTTGGAAGAAGATAAATGAATTTGGAGAGTTGATTCTTCAGGGTGCTATTCAGTTCAGTCTATTTATTTATTTTTATATGAACAGATGGGCTGTCCAAATAATATTGCACTTGTTATGGTGGACACTCTCAGAAAGTTATGGGAAGGGAATGTTCTTCTCAAGTGTATTGTTTTTGCCTGACAATTGTTGTTGAATGCACTCTCATTTAGAGAGTTGCTAGTTAGTCGTGGTGTCCATATAACTGATACTTCTTGTTGTTTCTGTTCTTATTTGGAAGAAATTCCAAGTCATTTATTTTTACTGTGTCCAGTTTCATCTAGGATCTAGTACTTTATTGCTCGTTGGCTTGGATTTGTAGTAGTTTTGTCTTTCTTCACATTTTTTGGCTTGGATTGGTGTTGACAGTAGCAAAAGTGAACATCATAGTCTGTTTATTGTTTGGGTTAGTGTTGTGTAGTCTTTATAGCTACATAGGAATAATATCGTGTTTTCTGCTGATATGTTAGATAAAAAGGAGTTGTTGGATTCTATTATCTTGAAATATTAGAAGTTGTTGTCATTGTATAACAAGAGAGATCCAATTACCTTTGCTAATTGGCACTTGAACTCACGTCTCTGCTTATTTAAAAGTATTAGATAACTATGTTTATGTTTCTTTTTATTTTTCTTGCTTTTTTTAGAATACCAATTTATTTTTCTTTGTGTAAGGTTTTAAATACTCCTTGTACTCATTTTAATAATATTTGTTTGCCTAGTGCATTTTGTCCTTATATTTTAGTCATTGTAGTTTAAATTGCTCATAGTTTGTTATTTTAATTTTTTGAATGTTAAAATTAAGTCTACATAATAAGATATATTTAATTGATTTATATAAATGAAGAAATATATATATATATATATATATATAAAATATTTAAATAAAAAATAAAATCTAATAAAAAATTCAATTTTAAGGTGAAGAACTTTTTTTAAGCATTTAAAAAAATAGAAAAGTAAATGTAAGCAATTAAAATAAAAAAGACTAAATTCACTTATATATTAAAATATAAGGATCAAAAGTGCAATTAAACTATCTCTGTGTAATACAGTCTTACTAATCCTCATGTTTAATAAATAAAGAAAAGATAAAATATTTATTATTTTTTAAAAGATATTGAATGTATTTGTTGACAATAAAATTGATATTAAACTTATTCATTCATTTAATTTTGGTGTTATTAAGTGGATTAATGAAGTAATTTTATAAGAGAGAATAAAATTACTTCATGACACTCATTAGTAAGACCTTTTTGTAATTTACCAATTTTATTAATTTGATCAAGGTATAAAAATAAATAAAAAATATTAGAAAACGATTAAATGATTTTTGCACTGTTAATATGAAACATAATATCTTTCAATTAAAACTTTCATTTTTTTTATCCTTTTACATCAATCAATAATGATAACAAAAATCGTTAACTTACTTCAATTAGTGTCCTATCTGTTGAAAGGTATAACAAATCTCGTAATTCTGCATATTTGCTAACTCCTTTTTACAGTCAAGTTTAGCGTTATGATATTTTAACTTGATTCAATCCTATAAAAAGGAGATATAAACAAATTTAATGTGTAAATGTAATTAATTTTTTATATTTAGTTGTCAAATATATTTATAAAGTGATTTTTAATATTTAATTTTTAACTAATTCATGTAAAACACGCATTCCATGACTAATATTGAATATTAATCTTGAATTTATTTAACTCTCGCTTTGAAAGTTATAAGAAATTCACTTTTATTTAATTACGAGGGTCCGATGCACATGGCCACAACGTGGATAGATTGGCATGTCAATGAATGTAGGATACGCGATGACCATGTTGATTGCAAGTGCGTAATGCCGTGTTGTCATTATTTTAAGTTATAATTTGATAAGTTAACGACATAAAATCAAAATTATTTCCTTGACCTAACACATTCAGTCATTAGTTTAAAAGTTATTTTGAATAGAAGAGAGGTGGGTTAGTAATAGTAATCAATAGAATATAACAGCAAGTCATTTTTTTTTTTTATTATCCTTTTTCTGGATTATGATATATTTTCTTTTGTTATTATTATTACTATAGTTTTTTTACTGTTATTACTATTTTTATTTACTTTAATTATTTTTTATTATATTATTATTATTATCATTATAATTGTAATTATGTCATATTAATGTTATTATTATTATTATTTTTATAACTTACACAACTATTATTACCGTAATAAATTTATTATTGTTGTTATCACAATTATGATTATTGGTTTGTATTTAAATATAAAGGTGCATTGAATTCTTAGTACTTGAGGTTGAAAAAGGTTGAGTTGAGTTTCTCATCATATTTTGATGATCTTAAAGGATAATATTCCTTGATATTAAGAGAGGATTGTGTTCCTAATATTGGAAGTTGAAGAAAACTGAATTTGCTTCTTTATAATGTTTTGGTGATTATAAGAAAGTGTTGTTTTTGTAAGAGATATTTCAATGTTTAAGTTAATGATAGTTTATATCTTCTAATATTAGTATAAATTTAAAAACTACTTGATTTGAGGAGGTAAGTGTAAGAATTTTTAAACTTACACTAATATAAGAAGATTATGTCTCATATATATTTGTTGACATAAATTTTTTATCATCATGTGTACATAATAGTATAACTCTTTAAGTAAGAAAGTGTGTTAAATGTTTATACAATAAGCATGATATGTCAAATAAAATTGACAATATGTAAAAAATGTTTGAGTTGTTAATTATAAAAGAGTGTCAATATGATAATTGAAGCTAAAAGTAAAAGTATATCTTAATTTGAGTTAAGTCACATAGTTTATCTAAAATAAATAGTTGATTGATAATCAATTTAGAGTTCATAATAATAAGTTGGATGAAAAATCTCTTTCATAATAAACTTAAACATAATGGTAGTGACATAAGAGATTGATTAAAGACATATATTTTAAAATTGTTATTATTACTATTATTGATATTATTACTACTGTTATCTTATTGTTATAATGTCATTAATATAATTTGACATATGAATTTTTTTTATTATTTAAACATAATTTATAATAATATTGTTAAAATGTTTTATGTATAATTAATCAAATATATATAGGATAATAACTTATTTTATTCGTATTTTTTTATTTATTGTATCTCTTTTTCTATCTCCATTGCCAAACAAGAATGAACAATTTTTAAAAAAATAGTTAATGATTTTTAAATTTATTCTTTTCATATTTTATAGCTACAATAATTAAGCCATGTTAATTAATATCTTTAGAACGAGGGTTAAAATATTAATACATAATTTTCATTAAAAGACGTATAAAAATTATATTAAAAAATTATTAATAAAATTTTTATTTTAGATTTTTAACTAATATCTTAAAGACTAGTAAATTTTTTGTTTAAATAATTTACATAATTCATTTTTTAAAAACTTATAATCGTATATTTCATTATCTTACTCTTCCACATGACATAAATAACCCCTGACTCGCTTTTAATTAGAGAGGAGCTGGTTTGTCATTTTAAGAAATAGATTATATTAAGACTAGCATTATTTAGGTCTATAATTAATAGACAGTCTTTGTTCATCGTGCTAGGCTGAATTAAAGTTCAATTCATTCTAAAATTTTAAATAGTATATCGTAAATATTTAATCCTAATATTGGATTATCTGTAGATATATTTTCTAAAACTTTTTCGTTTTACATTATTCTCCAGTCTTTAATGAAAAAAGATATTATAATATCTTATATTAATTAATTATATGAATTTTTACTGAAATAAAATTTTAACTTATATTAGAATTTGAATGCAAACCTAAATAAATTTAAGTTTGAGTAATTTATTTATTTTAAAAAATTTAATAATTTAAATTTATAATTATCTTATTTTTGTATCACTTAACTTGTTTCTAAGTTCCAACTCATTAACGTTATATATATTTTTTATTTTGGGTTTTAAAGTTTATCCAATTTTGACTTATAATCAGCATTCACTCACGCTTGTTACTTCAAGTTTACAATTTTTTGTAATAATTTTTGTTTTTGGTACTTGACATATTGTACTCCTTTTTTTGAGCTTTATATTTATTTATTTCTCCAATTTAAGTTTGATATCTTATTAAAATTTATGTTCAAATTATACAGTTTATTGTCATAATAAATAATTTAAAAATAAATCCAAATTTAATTCAAACTTAAAATTTAAAACTTAAATAGAATATTTTCCCATATAGTTTCAAATGTCTGGTTGAACAAACTCGTTCTAATCAAATCTTTTACTTTATCTCTTTTTTTTTCCTTGTCTTTCTATATCTTTTTTTTTTTATTTCTTCTTTTCACTTTTTTTTCTTTTATATCTCTCTTTTTCTTCTTATATCACAACATCCATCACATTTTTTTTTATCTCTCTCTCTCTCTTCCATCTCTTTTGTTCTGCCCATTTAACACTTAAATATTAGGTGTCCCCGTGTAATTTTTATTTTTTAAACAAGACAAAGGAAAGAAATAATGTAAGAACATCGTTTTCAAAATTATTTTTCTATTAGCTTGGTCCTTCCTCAGTTGCCATCACAGCCTTCACAAGTACAAATAAGACGAGGAGGTCTGAAACTTAGGAAGCCCAAGAGTCACGCTCACAAAAGCGTCAATTCTCGAAAAAAATGGGGATAGTGGAAGAAGCCCACAACGTGAAAGTTTTGGGATCGGGCACGCGGTTTATAGTTTTGGCTCACGGGTTTGGTACGGACCAATCGGTGTGGAAACACCTTGTCCCTCATCTCCTCGATGAGTTTAAGGTCATACTCTACGACAACATGGGAGCTGGCACCACTAACCCCGATTACTTTGATTTTGAACGCTACTCAACCTTAGAAGGTTATGCCTATGACTTGCTTGCTATCTTAGAAGAGCTTCGAGTTGATTCATGCATCTTTGTTGGTCATTCAGTGTCCGCTATGATCGGTACTGCTGCTTCTATTTCTCGCCCCGATCTATTCGCCAAGATCATCACGATCTCCGCTTCTCCTAGGTGAGTTGCTACTTAATGATTGAGTAATTATTATCCCTTTGACTTTTGTTTACAAGTACTAACAATGATTCAAGGCTCAATATTCTTAGGGTTCGTCCAACGATACCGGATAAAAACTTATTAAATATTTTTTTAATTTAAATTTATGCCTGAATTGTATTGAAAATTCGGGTAAGATGTGTTGGTGATATATTTTTATAATTTTTCATTACTATTCCAAACATACTTGTTAGTATTTTTTAAAGAAATAATATGTTTTTAATCTCAAATTATCTCATATTTTAAGAGTTTTAGTTGATCTCAAAATAGTTGTTATTTTCAATTAAGCAAATGTTAATTACTTTTTATATAACTATAGCCTTATTTATAGTTACTTTTTAGGTTGTTTAATTTTTTAATTAAAATTTTATTCGAATAACAAGTGTTGATGATAATTAACTTTTATTAGGTAAGTTATTGACATAAAATTTTAATTTTAATTTAAGCACATGTTGTCAAAAAAAGAAAGAAAAGGAAAAATGATCTACACATTGTTTTAATTAATTAATCGACAACTACATTGTATCTCATTTGATAAGGGTATTTTAATTAATAAAAAAATCATAATAATTTTTTATTTAATTTTTATAATGATTACTGCAATTAATATTTTAAAATATATGTATTGTTTTAAATTACAGATATTTAAGATAAAAGAAATTATCATTATTAGCAATGAAGGGATTAATAATATTGCATGGGGCATTTGGGGAAGGTATCTGAACGACATGGATTACTTTGGAGGGTTTGAGCAAGAAGATCTAGACGAGTTATTCAACGCCATGGCGGAGAATTACAAAGCTTGGTGCTCAGGCTTCGCTCCAATGGCCGTTGGAGGGGACATGCAGTCAGTGGTAGTGCAGGAATTCAGCCGAACCTTGTTCAACATGAGACCAGACATTGCTTTAAGCGTGTTGCAAACCATTTTCCAAAGTGACATGAGGCAAATTCTAAGCCTCGTCACTGTCCCATACCACATCATACAAAGCATGAAGGACTTGGCGGTTCCCGTTGTGGTGGCGGAGTATCTCCACCGTCACATTGGCGGTGACTCCGTCGTTGAGGTTATGTCAACGGAGGGTCATTTGCCGCAGCTAAGTTCTCCTGATATCGTTATTCCCGTGTTGCTCAAACACATTCGTCTTGATATTGCTACTACAAGGTAATGTGGTGGCTCCATTATTGAGCTTTTTCAGAAATAAAAAATAAGATTTGGAATGTGTCGGTTTCGAAAAAGACCAAATGGAAATGGGGATGGGGGCACATGTTCCCCTTAGCCCCGTGTGTGTTGCTGTTTGTTGTATTCCATTTAATTGTGGTAGTTGATCCTATTTATTAGTAGTGGCAACCATTATTTAATTAATGTCCCTGTAATCATGCACTATGAGGGTGGGGGATGAAGAATTGATCAATTTGTGTGACCCAATTCAAAACATTATTTTTAAATTTTCTTATAGTATCTTCACAATAATTTTCTTATGTTTGATATTTTTATTTTGAAAATATTTAATGGATCTACTTTTCGTTCAATTTTTTTTATAAAATAGTAAAGGTATTATTATATTGTAAGAAGAAACATCATTCATTTTTTCATTAAATTAATGATTTCCTTTTTAAATTAATTTCTTGTGTCTACTTAATTTGGCTGATAGTTTACTCTTGTTTTTTTTTTCTTAAAAGTGTATAATTTTTATTAAAATATTTATCATGTCAAAATATAAAAATATTTATTTATTGCATCTAAACATCAAACTTAAAGATTAATAATATATACTTACAGAATCATATAATCAAATATGTGTATTATTTAATACAAATAATTAGATTAAAAATATAACAAAGTAATGTATTTTTAGAAATAATCCAAATATTTAATATAATATGTTAAATACTGTTATTATTATCTTTAGAATAATAATTAATAATATTTATTATTTTAATATAAATTTAATAAGATGCTTAAAAGCTTCTCAATTAATAACCAGTCATGCTTAAACCCTTGATTTTGTTTGAAAGTTTTGAGGATTATTGCTTAGCTCGTATTCTTTGTTTGAATTGAGGAAGGAAAATAAAAAGAAGGAATTCAAGTAAAAAGAAAATAATAAGAATGTAAAGTAGACTTTTATGATATATATATATATATATAATTTGGAAGAAACATAGAAAGAAGAAAATAGGAAAAACAACATTTTTTAATAAATAATTAAATTATACTCCTTATAATTTAGTAAAATATATACATAACAAGCAATTTGGTGTCTCTTTCTATACTTTCCCACCCTCTCCTCCCTTTTCTTGGCTAGACAGGAGAAAATAATATGTTAGATTCTACAAGTTTTTGTTTCCTATCCTATTACTTTAGATTCTACAAATTCCTTTAACACAATTCGTAAGGGAAAAAAAAAGGTAAATTGGTTCAACTCCTCACGGTGTGTATGGAAAAGATTTTATTAATAGAGACTATATTTATTTCAATAATTTTTGTCTAGAGAATATAATCTTCAACTGTCAACTGAGAAATAACTTCGTTACTTACCAGGAAAACAAAATTGCTTTTCCTATTTCTTTCTTTGCATGTATTTTTCACTAAACAAAGTAATAGTTCGGCTTATTCAAGGAAAAACAACAATATTTTTACTAAGAAACAAGTTCCAGGTGGTGATTTAAAAATAGTCTTAGAAAAATGAAATTTAGAGGAAAGTCTTATATATGAGTGCCTTAAATATATTAGTTATAAATTAATTAAAAAATTATTAAAATTCATGATAAACTTAATTGCATGGTTAGTATTAGATCTTTTATTTTCTGTAAAAATTTTACTTTTAGTTTCCAGTTAAGGGAAATCAAAAGTTGATTTTCTTAATGCAATTCATGAGAATCAGATAGAAAGGATGTGATCTTATCCAAGTTGACAAAATGTCTTTTTTAATAATTAGGATTTAAATTTATTTTTATCGGAATAATTTTAGGTAAATTTCAACTAATACTTAAAGTAATAAAAATAAAAAATATTTATTAAAATGTAACTTTTTAACATTATTAATACATTGAGTGTCATGATATTTGATAAAAAATGTATTATTAATTTCTTAATTAATATCTTTAAGGTACTTGTCAATAGCATCTTAAATTGTATCTAGCAAAAATTAAAATAATAATAAACATTGCATACCTACAATAGTAAGAGTATGATACTAAAAAATGATTTTGTTGTTGTATAATATTAATACATACCATTATAAACATATTATTAATATAATGGCATTGCATTGTTAATGAAAATATAATATTTATATTAATAGTTAATTTTTACCAGACAAATATTATACTACTACAAGCAATAGTTCAAAAACTGTTTTAAAAAATATAAACACTAAATAATAAGGGTATGTTTGATTAGTGTTTTAAAAATAGTTTTCTATTTTTAAAAATATAATATAATACAAATTTATATTAAATTTTATTTTTAAAAACAGAAAAATGTTTTTAAAAAGAAAACAAAAACTCTATTTTTTTCAAATTAAGTTTAACCAACTTACTAATATTTTTTTTTATCGATATATTATTTTTCGTTACTAGTATTTGTTATCAAATCCATTATATGTACATTAATATAATAATAATTTTAAGTTCTTATAATTAAAAGAAAATATAAGTCATTTGTTAATTTGAGAACATTTTAAGGCCGGGCATCTTAACCAACAATATTCGAGTGAAACAAAAAAGATATAAAAAAGTAAGGGATTTGAGAAAAAAGCAACAAAGAACTTAAAATATGATAAATTTGGCATGCTTACAATATTTGTAAGCATGCTACATAATATATATATATATATATATATATATATATATATATATATATATATATAAGGGAATATTTCTTCTTTGATTCTTTGCTTCACAATAGTTTATCCCTTTCTTGTTAGCTGTGTGGTTGCCTTCCAACCTGTCTAAGGAAGGAATGAGGAATCAGACTTCTGTTGTGATATTTCTCTATATCTCTCCATCATTTTAAATAAAAAAATATATTGTGAAAAACTACAAACTTCTTCATAATTTATAAATTAGCAGAATGCAACTTGGCGACAATGTTATATTCGTTTTCAATTATAGATGTAATTAAGAAGGAAAGAGAGGGTGGGACAGAAATGATACTGAGTCATATATGTTTTATAGTTATTAGTAAAAAAAACATTTATAATTCGTAAGATAATGTTTTCGTTTAAATTTCAATAAATATTCATCATTTTTTATGATATGTATGTTATAATACCTATATATAATTAAATTAAAATATTTTTAAATTGTTAATTCGATTTTAAAAAATAAAAATTAAATAAACTGAAAATTTTGTATTTTATTTTTAAATTGATCAATTTATGAAAGTATTAAAAATATAAGCACACTATTAATTGAAAGAAAGAAACTTAAATTGAGAAGCAAGAATTCAATTTGTAAAACATTTGAATTAGGATTATCATTCTTTAACAACAAAATCTGCTTATACATAGTATAGAAAAAGAAAAATAAGAGAATGAGAAGAAAATTGAAAGAATAATTCATTAAAAATAATAAATGTTGAGTTTGTTCAAATTATAACTTCATTTGAAGAGATAATTTACATGTCTTTTTGAGTTTTAAAAATGAAATGTTAAAGACATGGAAAATTAAAAAGAAAAAAGAAACTAGTTAACTTGTGTTAGTTACACAACCGAAACCATGTCTTTCCAAGTCAATTTTCTATCCACTTCGTGTGTGGCTATGCAACATTGACTGTGTACCCTAGATGAGTATGGCAGGTTACATGTTCAATGCTCATTCTTTCAAGCTCTCAAGCATTCAGTTCTCCAAATGTTCCTGCATCCAAGGAAAATGATGAGATCAAGGGTTACTAGAAATTTTAGAAGAAAATTATCATACTTTGCTACAAATTTTTATAACTAAACAATTAATGCAAAACTTTAAAATTTTACACAACATTGCCATTAAATGCATACTTATAGTAATAATATCAACAATAATTATTTTATAATTCCAAACAATTAAAAGGAATTTTAAGACTTATCAATATTTCATTCAAATTGAATCATATTTATTTATATGTTTGATTAGAATGTCTCTCTAATAACTTAACCAAATTAAATCGCAAAGTTCATATATATATATATATATAATCATGCATACATGATAAAAATAAACTCTCTTGATTAGCTTTTAAGAATAATTAAGACAATTTTTTAGTATATTCAATTTTTCCTTTGTTTTAGACTTAAGTTTAGAAGCTCATGCAATAACACATATATTTCTTATTTATTCTAATTTATATTGAAGGGACAAAGAAACTAATTTTACCTTTAAAATATTAAATATGTTTATAAAGTATTAAGAGGTTAATAAAAAGTCTTATAATACAATTTTATTTGTCCTTAAAAAATTATTTGATTTAATTTAATCTTTAAATTTATTTTAACAAAATAGTCATTTAATATTGTTTCTTTAAGATATATTAGTTTTTTTTTTAATCACTAAAGACTTATTAATATGAAATTCCATCATTTTTATCCAATAAGATTTTTAAAAAACACAAATAATAAAGACTTGATTTGTTTAGAAAACTCACTCAATTCAATTTAGTTTTTCAAAGTATAAATATTAACTACAGTGACAACTTTATTTTAATAGTACATTTATTCTCCACTTGCTGCTTTCTTCTCATCCCTTGTGACCTCTTATCAATAGAATTAGAGATCTGCTTAAGTCTGTTTGTTTTATTAGGATTAGGCATATCTATAAAAAGGCTAATAGGTGTGATGATGTTTTAGCTAAATTTGGGCTTATAGAGCTAGCTCCTTATACTATATTACTATTTTTCCTGATGTCCCTATTTTTCTCCTTCCCTATTTGAATTTGAATGCTAGTAATTTTAGGCATCTTAGAATTGTAGTTTTATAGACAACACTTTTAAATATTAATAACAAAATTTATAAATTTTATAAACAATAGATGAAAACTATCTTTAAAATATAATAAACTGCAGTTATTAATTATTGTTTAATATTTAACATAAACAATTATTATAAACTCTTCTAAGACATTTAAAGAATAGTTTTGCAACCATTCTTGAATAATTCATACAAAACTCATTCTAAAAACTTGTGTGACAATA